GATACAGTTTATTAATTTCATTTGGTGAATAGCATTCCTTGTTTGATTTGTTTATTCCCTGACTTCCTGTCATTTTCCAAAAAGTGCAAAACAGCTTGTAAAGCTCAAGCTGCAGTTAGGAAATGCTATACTGTTAAACTCATTCATGCTGGCAGGAAAAGCTGCAATGCTCCCACCTTATGTTCCTGCTTGAAGACGGAAGTCTCACACAAAGCCTGTTGTTTGTGTTCTGAATCAACTGGACAACATCACAAAACTTGCTAACAGCCATTCACTAACTTCTGTAGTATATACAGCACTCTTTTTCCACGGCTAATATTATAGCCTATTACAAATTCCACCATCAAACTACTTTGTTTCCCTCTTTAGCCTTCTATATACCCTTCAGTCCTCCTCCTCCTTGCACTTTACTGTATTAATCCCCTCTCCGTGTCTCTAAACACTTCAGGGCTTTCTCTGTTTCGTGCCCTCTAGTCTAATTTTACTTAATCTCCTCTCATTCACTAGCTAATCTTTTCTCTTCTTCCTCGGCTCAACCTCATTCTCTTCTCTTCTCAAACTGCTTCTGTCCATTTCTTCATCAACTCCTTCAACTTTAATCTACAGTATCTTCCATAGCCCGACATCTGACTCGAGTTACTGTCTGAGCAGGAGGAGGGTGGTGGGATGGGAGGACTGAATGACTGCGGTCCATCTAAATCCAAACATTCCTGCTCTGCTCAGACAAGTCGATCAGGGAAGCAGAAGGAAACTTCACAGAGAGGCTAGCAGCAAAGAACAACTGGAGGGATGCATGGGATAATGGTATTAACAACAACTCTGAATTGCAGAAACAAGCTATAAACCTTTGGGGCTTATTTTCCATAGTTTCTTTTTCCTTTTTAAACAGATTTCTGTAAAGTGATGACACCACCAAACGTCAGAGACAAGCCGATGCTCTTAATGAATCACAAGTCACACTACACAACAGGGGAAATTACAGTAGCTGATTAGCTGGAAAATGACAAGATCGGTCTATATTAAGCTAGATTTTCTTGCTGTGTGATTAAGCGCCTGAAAATGTAACCAGATTTTTTTGTGGCTAAAATAGCAAAACTAACATGGCCAGACAGCTGGTGCCACCAAATGTCAAAACATCTAAAAGATGACAGCTTTGGACTTCACTTGACGTTCTGTAACACACACCAGACACACAACACAAACATTAGTGTGAAAAAATTCTTCTTCATACACCAACTGAGAACCAGCTTGCATAATTTTCAGAAATTTACAAGCCTGGAAAATTTCAGTGTTCGGCCTTTTTAAACCCCCAGTTAAGGGAACACTGAGGAGAAACATGAGAAGAAAACAGATACGTGAATCTGATTCAAAAAGTGAGACAGAGGTCAACATCTTATCTGGTGTTGCACACACGTGAGTCAGTGGTTTGTATTGTTTGGTGCTGAATAGAGTTTGGCTTGTTCAGAGCGTGTAGTGTGAAAGAAGTTTTTCAAACTTCTTACACGTTTCAAATTTAGGCTGTCAAACACAAAGAGAGCTGTAGTGACAGTAAAGATAAAAGCAGAGTCCCAGACACTAAATCAGTCTTATCTCAGTTGTTCACTGGAAGGTCAAGGGGCCAGCTCTCCTGCTCCGGCTCAGACAGAGAGGCTGAGTGTACTAACTCTGCTGTGATTTCAACCTCAAAAGACAGCAATCCCAATCCCACCTATTTCACTTTACAAATCTTCACATTTCTCTCTGTAAATGACCCACACCACAGAATATAATGTCCAAGGTTTGTGGTTAATGATTATTTTCATTATCAGTTAGGCTGCTGATTATTTTCTCAATTATTTCATCTATAAAATGTCAGCAAAAAGTTTTTCAGGTCACATCTTCAGATTTTTTAACCTACAGTCCAAACCAAAACTTTCAGTTTAGCGTCACATATGACAAAGAAAATCCTCACTGACCACAGCCAGAGTAGGATTTAGTGACGAGTCCGTGCAGAGCAGTTCCCTTGAGCAATACTGCCTTAGACATGCAGTTAAATGTAGATAAGCAGTCCTGCAATCAGCAAGAACCACTTCAGATAAATGTACTTCATCCTGTCATTTCACCTTGGTAAATATAGTGTGCAGCAGAGCTAATGGTGAGAGTTTTTCATATACACTGGTATTTTTGTTTATATTAATAAAACAGAAGAGCTCATCTTTGTAACATGTAGATAACCACTGTCAGCAAAAAAACGCTCTCGGTAATCAAAAAGCAGGCTATGCAAATCAACCTATCATATCCTGTTCACTGGAATAGGCAGATGTCTTTAGCAAGAACCACTTCAGATAAATGTACTTCATCCTGTCATTTCACCTTTATGTCCTATGTTAATAGTTAATCATTTGAGAACAACAACAACTAGTATACTTATAGAAAATCAGCAGCAGCTATAGATATATCATTCAGAGATTAATCAGCTGTTCAAAGGATTCTTTAGTCTTGTTTTGTTGATCGGCTTATTAGATAATTGCTCAGTGGTAATTGCACTTGACTTTCAGGTTACACTTTTTCATATTTATCGGAGAACCATAAAAAAAAGTTTAAAAAAGTAGAAATTAGAAAAGTTTCTGTCGCTAACAAAAATGCCTGCTAAAATCTTGTCGAGTGTCTTCTATTTCTTTCTCTTTTTTTTAAATGAATCAAACAGTCGTCCCACAGCTTGTCGAGCATGTTCCTCACTGTGTGGATGCACAGTAAGACAACAGAAGTGGACTCACAGACTGAGGTTTTGTTTTGTTTTTTTACAGACTGGACAGAATGTGGTGTTGTTCCTCCAGGCTGAATAGGAGGAGATGAAGGAAACAATAACAGAAATGGTTTGTTAAAACAGAATTTCAGCATTAATGTTATTCGAATGATTTTGGAGCATTTTAAAATGTTTTTAAAATTTTAACAATGCCAAAAAACAGAAAGCTGAATATGGGCTTTCAGCTAATTATCATCAGTTGTGTAACTACTGATCTGCATAACTGATGCTGCTGACAAGGGGACTTACATTATCACGTTACCTTTTGCCAACTTCCTCACTTTTGCAATAATCATTTAAGTATTAAAACGATTATTCCAAAGTCACAGAATTGTTAAAAGACTATTAACAGTCACAGAATTTCCCAAAATCCAAGATGGGCAATTCTAAAACATTAGCTGCTTATTTTATCCAACCAGCAGAGTAATATCAGAGAAAATTAACAAATATCACATCATCAAAACTGGTAATGGGCTTTCTGGGCTTTCTTTTTAGCTGTGTTTGGAGTGTTCTCCTCCATAGGGCAGTCAATTGTAGTCAGGCTTTCAGTCTTTGCTGTAACTATAGCAAGCATGATTTCATGCAGTAAATTACCCAGTCAAGAGTCAGCTTTTGTCTTCATGCAGCTTCCATAGTCACCCCACAGCTGCTGTCACTATATCCACTGACCCAACAGCTCATTAATTGTTAATGATGGCACTTCAGAAGACTGACCTCAGAGGGCAAAGTCTCAGTGACATTGTAGAAAAGACTGCCACGTGGTCAAATGGGTTGCGAATAGCAAAAGGGTGCATGGTCAGGTGATTACATGGAGGATCATAGGTCTGACATCAAATTACAGACATGTATAAAATAAGTACAGAGCTCCCAGGTCTAGAAAGTGAAGCTAATGGCAAAGTGCCTTCAACATGCATTCAATGTGTTAGACAGGTGGGGGCTTTGTGGTAGTAAAAAGAAATCTGATTGAACAGAAATCTATGGGGAGATGGCTTTCAACACTCACGATCTAGACCTTTAGTAAACATATTCTTGATGTGTTTATGAGCTCCACTGCTAGTTTTAGTTCTTACAGAGTACAATATTATGTCCATTTTGACAATTATGGTGCCCATTCGAGTCAAAAGGAACTAAGCGCTGTATACTTTAGGGTACGCCTATCTTATAATTGACAATTTGCTAAAATATGAGCATGCTGTGTCTCAGTTTCAGCTGAATTGCTGGTTTTGCAGGTTAAACTTAACTGTGGACAATTTTCACTATTTCCTAAACTTGGACCCAACTAATGGAATAAATCCACAAATTTGGGCTCATTACATACACATCGGTATTTGTACGTATGTGGTAAAAAAACTAAATGCCAGCGGGAGTATCTGAAGCTCTGCTATTTTGCCATGATCTCACAACTTAGAATATGATATGATCCAGTGTCTTCATTGTAAATTCTTAGTTTGTGAAACACTTTGCTGCTTTAAATACTACATAAATCCATTTCCTTCTGCTTATCCAAGTTTATCCGATCCCTGCTGAGGCAAAAGGCAGGGTACACCCTGGATAGTTTGGCAGTTTGTCACAGGGCTAACACAGAGAGACAAAAGATACAACCCCACTGCCTGCATGTGTTTGGACTGTGGGAGGAACTGGGAGTTTCTGGAGGGAAAGCAAGTAATTAATAATAGTTTAGATTTGAGTAAAGCTGTTGCACTGTAGTGCAAATAAAAATATATTAATAAACAGTATATAAAAAATTTGAATGTATATAATTAAAAAAATTAAATGTTGGTAATCAAGTAATAAGCAGATATGTTGTATAATTTAACAAAAGCTACAGAAATGAAATTGTTTTTTCATCTTCTTTTGACACAAAACTCCTTTTAATAAAATATTAGATATATTACGCCTGTAAAGAGTCGTGTCTGCAGCTGGTGTGCGTGCAGTTTCCACGGTTGCAACAGAGTACATTAAATGAGGGATGAAGATTCGATTTTACCCACGTGGCAGAGTTTCTGTCGCTCCACCTGCGTTTCCTGTGCTCTCAAATGAACCCTAACGATTTCACTTGCGTATAAGGAAAAATATGCTGTCAAAATATTATAAAATATGACAAAGCCAACTTCCTTCCTCTTTTTCACTGAAATTAAGAGGAAGTGGCTCCAAACAACTTCTCTTATATCCAACGGTGTGACATCCAGTTTGTGTGTGTGAAAAGGGACTTTACCTCCCAACGGCCGTAGGTCATGAAGTACAGGGCGAAGGGGATGGCTGTGCCGGACATGGCGTGCGTGGACGGCATGCTGTACTCGGAGTTGTAAAACACCTCCACTTTGACCACAGGCGGTGAGGCCGGTCGGGACCAGCCGAGCACATCCTTGGTACACTGTCCCAGGTACATGACCCAGACCCACACCATGATCAGTCGCCTGCTGACGAAGGCTTCCACGTTCCACGTTATGAATGGGAAGAAAGTGATGTAGAAAGTCTCGTTTCCCAGCTCGGTTCCGAAAGTGAAGAGATAGTACAAGAAGCGGTTGTCGATCAGGAACTCCTGCCCGCCGTCGCCCGTTAGAGAATTCTTGCGGAGTGGCTTTACCTTGCTGCTCCGTGGGGGACCCAAGACTCCTCCGACCTGGCTCTCCTCACAATTGGCTGCCCGGGATAAATCTTGCGCGGACCCGCTGCGGACGCCCGGTCCCGCGAGGCTGCTGCCCACACCAACCCTCTCTCCCCCGGCGGTCGCCGCAGACACCGCTGTCCCGTTCTGTGACGGGGTTTCACCTTCATCTTTAAAGTTATTAGCAACGTTAGAGTCCGCAATCCTTCTCCGAAGCTTCGCTGACGCCGTTTGCATTTTCTCTCCTTCCCCAGCTCCTACATTGGACAAGTTTTCACGGTCATCCTCTCCGGCGACGCGATGATGACAAGCGCCGTTGTTGTGCGAGTGAGCCCGGTCCGCTACCTTGCTGCTGCTGGTGGTCGTAAACGTGCCCCGTACCCCGCAAATGTTCTGAAAGCGGGCAACAAGGTGAGGATCCTGGAGGCAGTGGCATAGCTCTTTCATTTTCTCCATGTTTTAATTCCCTCTGACGACTCCCAAGTAGCCGAAGAAACGCGTACTCCGTTACTTTCTCCGAACTGTGGATGCTAGCTCCCGGCTAACGTTAGCGAGCTAACCCGTACATTATGGCAGAGCGGCACTCAAAGGTGAACCCTTGAAGCATTTGCAAACGGTAGAAAAATATGACAACAACTTGAGTCGTTTTAAAATAAGAAATTCCGTTTTCAGTTAAACCGTATCGGATATAAAGAACCGAAGGGCTCCTGCCGTTTGTCTGAGCCTGGATGCGATAAACGTTCCGCTATGTGCAACTGTCAGATACACGAGAGGTCCGTGGAACGCGCCTTCCCCGTTGCCTTCAGGTGCTGCATGAAATGTCACAATTCTTTCCCCAGTCAACTTCAGAACGTACAGAGATTTAGGACCAAAGTCGAGGTCGCACAGCCACTGAAGTAACAGGAAGCCGCTTAGATCGCCTTAGATGCAGTAATCAGGACGTTGATTGACAATGAGCAGTTAGAATTTTACCGTTTAATTTGACCGTTTACCGGGTGTAAATTGCCACGTGTGTACTGAAAAGTGTGATATATCAGTGGCTATAATAAAATGCATTTTTAAATAAAGCAAAGCGCTGGGAATCTGCCAAGAAGAAAAGGAGACCACGATCAGTCAAACAGAGGCTACACATATATCACAATAGATGTTTTTTTCTTTTTAAAGTCTAGAAATACTGGATCATATTTAGTTTGTGTATTTAATAATTATGTAAAAAATATCTTAAAGTGAAATATGCGTTTATAACTCAGTCATTGCTTTGTGGGTGCAGAAACGTAACTGCTATCCAGTTCATAAAGGCTTGAAATTAAATTGTGTAAAGTTCTAGTTTACAGACCATAATATTTAAAAGTTGTGCTTTATCAAATGACGTAATTATGTTCTGTTACAAACTCTCTGCAGAGGTGACAGTTGCTGATGTGAGGTTGTAAAGTCTGTCTTTGTTAGGAGCACTTGAAAGCAACGGTGGTTCCGGCGCGCACGCACAACATTCAACGGAACTGAAAACGTCATGGCGTGACGTGACCGCGCTTTGTTGATAGAGAGGTCGAAAAATTAAAAAATGAAACAAAAATGTCACATTACATACTTTATTTGATAATCAATCACATGAAAAAAGTTTAACGGCCCTTTTTCAAAATAGTTTCTTAAATACAGACTATTCATATTCATCAAAATATAAATTCTTGATTTAAAATATCAAGCTTTTCTTTAATAGTTGCCTTTAGTTTGTCATTGTTGTTTTACCTTATTTTCCTTTATTTTTCCATTTAAGTGATTGTTATCAAGATGCACATTGCAAAAATCAGTAAAACTCCTGGATAGACACTGAACACACGAAAAGACACAGAAGAAGGATGGATAATTAATCGCTGTTGTCATACAGCAAGTAAGTCAGCTTTATAAAGCACCAATGTGCCGTGTTAAATAACCTATTTTCTGACCACTTTAGCAAACCTCGGTCCTCTGTGAAAACACTACTGGTGCTGGAACCATAGTAAGAAAAAAATGGAATGCAACATCAAGTTAAAGGCCTTCTGGTCTCTGAAATCCAGCATTAAAACACCACGAGGCTGAAATGCATTCACAAAAGCAATATTTGGTATCAGAAAAAAAGTATTTTGACTTCATAGAACTGACAAAAAAATATTTCCTCCTTTTTACATAGCAAAAGAAAAAAAAACTTTTATATTTAGGTATTTACTGCCACTAGCATTATCTCTCTTTATTATACATATATGTATAATCTGGGATATTTAGACTATGCAGACTACAGGTTGGTGGTATGGTAATAATAGTGTTTGCCAACAGTTATAACTCATTTGAAAACGTGTTAAATGTTTGCTATATTGTATGTTTCAGCAGATGTTATAATCGTTGATAAATCTCTTTACATCTATAGTGGGTTATAATCTGTATATAACATCTATTAATGCTAAATCAGAATGAGGTTTAAAGTAAGCATTCCTCTGTTTTCTTATTTGAACACAGACTACTAATAAATGCTTTGAGATAAATTTCTTTCCACCAGCAGAGGGCAGCAAAGTGCTGCAAAATGAAAACATAATCACGGGACATCGACCACAGAGAGAAAACAGTCTTCCCACAGGCAGTAAACGCACCCGGGGGAATGAGTGCCTTGAGTTCTTCATAGCATTAGAATTCACACGATCCAGGGAATGTTACACAGAATATTTCATAAATCACACAGTAGCATAAAAAGATAACAGAAGCAAATCAGCAAATATTCTCCACGCAAGCCAAGGTGCATCAAAAGTAGCCAGCAGTCTGTAAATCCCTGAATGCGCTCACAGTTTACATGAGCAACAGTAACAATAAAAATCAATAATACTACAGCTGCAAAGAATTTAAAAAAAATGCTGCCTGCTTAAAGTCTCTTACATTTGCACAAACAGTAAATAGCAGTAATGCTGCTGCAGAGTTTAATATCAACACTCCTGAGGCAGAAGAAGAAAATGGTCTCTCAGATTCTTGAATCCACCACTGCTTCTCAGCAAGGTGACGAGAAGAGGCGACGTCCTGCTGATGCACGAAACAGAGCCTGCGACACATTCCCCTCAAAGCATTTTTAGCGAACAGGGAGAAAAACAGCAGCAGCAGCAGCAGCAGCCTTCCTCCTGCTGGTTGGAGCAAACAGTGCGAGTCCACATGCCTGTGACATGAACCGACGCTGCAGTTCCCAGCTTTGAAAAGAAGCCTGGCGGTGAGGAGCAGAGAGTCAGCCATTGTCATCCAGGTTGTACAGGAGGACCTGGTGGTTTGGGGTGAGGCCCGGGCAGGTACCCAGGCTGTACAGGCAACCAGCTGACGGGTAACACGGCACCAGCCGGTAGTGCTGCAGCTCCTCCAGGCCAAAGCCCGGGGAGCAGCAGTCTGTCACCAGCACCTTCACTCTCTTCCTGTCTGGGTACATCAGCCTCCGCTGCCCCCTATCCCCGATAACTCCCTCCTCTTCTTCCTCTTCATCTACTTCATCTTCTTCTTCCTCCTCCTCAGCCTCCAGCTCCTCCTCCTCATGGTGGATTTTTCTCAGCAGGTTGTTGATGAGGACGGAGCGCCTCAGGTAGGCCTCGGGATCTTCCAGGAACCTTAGTTTCTCCAGGGACAGCCTCAGGATGCAGCTCCGGTCCTCCTGCAGTATCAAGTGCTGCAAGTGGCAAACGTGAAGGCAGCAGATCAGATTGTGTCTTTACATATTTTTTTTATTTTGACAATTTATACAGAGAATTTTCAAAAAACATCAGAAAAAATATATTTTTAAATTATTATTACTGAAGGTATTTTAGCGTACATTAAAAAGGGGGTTGAATGTGGTTTTAAACAGCAAACTTTACCTTTGTAACATAATGTATTTTATAACTGACCTATTTAAAATAAAGTTAGCTGGAGATATTTTCCCTCTCCTGCCTTCATTTAATCCCATTGTATTTTTTATGTAAAATAGTTTGAGTTTACCTCTCTAATACACACAATCAATTATCTATGTAGACATGTAGAAAAAGGGTTTCCATCCAGTTTGCTTAGTTTGTCCACCTTTCGTGGTTAAACTGAAGTTGTGCTTTAAAATTGTAAAGCAAGCAAACTTAAATGAGAAGATTTCAAAAATGGAACATTTCTGTTAAACAAATCTTTGATAGTTTTCCTAAAAAATGCTTCTGATGGCTGTTGCCCACAAAGTTTCTAAATAGCTTTTTCCAGGAGGCAATGGGAGAACGCACATTTTGAGCACCATCCTTAAATACTTTTGTAATGTTTAATGCTGCTATTTTCAAACATAATCCTGTAGTTTTTTACTGCATTACAAACAATGGCAGCTTTAGCTAGTCTTTAAAGCGCTTCCAACATATGGTGCTTTTATTATGAAGTGAAACTCTGAGCTGAGACAGGAAATGATTGACCGGAATAGAAGGGCAAAAAAGTGCGTTATCATAGAAAAATTGGACAAATCTCACATTTTTTTAGCTTCTCAAAAAGTGAACCTTGGGTGTTTTTCCTCTAAGTGATTAAAAAATAGACTGAAAAAAAATAACCACCATGATTGTGACTTTGGCTAAAAGATGTCATTTATTAATTAATTTAATTAATTATTAATTAACACACACACACACATATATATATATATAGCTGCAGTTCACTGAGCTGGAACAGGGAACTAGAATATTTTCCCAATTCCTGATTATACTTGTATATATTCCTAGGTATCATTTTTTATTGCACGACTTTTATTTGTAACATATTCTTTTTGTAGAACTGCATTCATGCCTGAAATGCATAAACCTTTAAAAGTACAGTGAACACTTTAGGTATTCAAAGCAGAGAAACAGTGGAGACTGTGTAGGATGCCAGAATAAAGTTGAAGGATGTGATGAAGGCCAGCTAATAAAGAGTGAAACCGTTAAAGTGATGGAGAGAATTGTGAATGTCGAGAATGCACAGAAGCAAAGAAAGAAGACAAAAGAAGGAAGAGGCAGTAGAAAAGAAGCAATAAGCCAGAAACATTTGGCGAGCCTGTTCAGCTATGAAGTCACCAAACGTTTCAGCTGTTGTATTAAGGTCTTTCAGGCACAGAAAATCAAGTCACGCTGACATGAAAACAACAAAAGAAGAAGAAAAGAACACGCACTTTTTGAAAATATCCACGTAGGCCTCGGTGTAAATCCTCCTCCTCCGCATATTTCCTCTTGAAGTAAGCAACTTTCGACGTTGTTGAATGGTTTGGTCTCTCTCACGGGGAAGGAGCTGCTGGAGGCAACCACACAGAGATCACTGCTTTCTGCCGCCACCACAGCACAACAATCATAATGTGCTGAAGCCTCTGTGTTACACTGAGGGGATTTCACTGGCTGGTTTTAACTTGAGTGCTTATCCAGAGCAAAAACTGCTTCCATGTGATATAAGGTGAATGTTGGTCTCTGTATTCTTGGATTAAAGCTGGTGATAATTATCTATATCACCAAAATCCAATATATGTACATTTTTACACAGACTGCAAAACAGTTCAGCCTCTCAGGACAGACTTAAAGACTGAAACCACAGCTTTGCTTTGGTTATTGAGTCATTGTGGATACGTTCTTTTTTTGCTCCCACAGTTGTTTTGCAGATCATGCACGCGTGTTTGTCATAATTTGCCTCCTTTTCAGGTCATTCCTCACTCTCTGTGGTCAGATTTCATCCCATCTCTGGTTAGTTTAGGGTTTATTTCCTTTTTTCGTGTGTTTTTGAGGTCATTTCTTTACTTTTTCAATCCTCTAACACTGCATATGGCAGTGCTCTATGGTGCTTTACAGTTATCCGTGTCCGCTTTATTGGTTTTGTATTATTTTCTATTGATTTAATGTGTCTCTCTGTCTACCTGCAACAACTGGTCCCTTTCTTCTTCTGGTCATTTTCATCTTTGTTTAGTTAGTTTGGGTCACTTTGTGGCATTTCTTTAAATTTATTTAATGTGTCCATATTTTTATGTAACGTTTTCTCTCTTTTTAGGTATTTGACTCAGTTGGTTTTTATATTTTTAAGTTTGTGTTAGATTTTTTTCATGATTTCAATGTATTATTTTAAACAAATAAGCGTGTATTATTTTGCCATGTATTAATACCAATTTTATTTTCAGTAATTTTATTATTTGAAAACTTTCCTTTCTACCTTTGCTGCATTCAGTCAATGGTTGTGATGCACACGGCCACTAGAGGTCATGTCCAGTTAATGTAATCTATGGAAAGGTGTGAGCTATAAACATTAACAGAGCAGACTTCTGTCACATCACTCTTAATTCCTGGTTGAGAGATGTTGGTTTGCAGGAAGAGACAGAAGGTTTGATTACCTGCTGCCGATTGGGCCACGGCCGATTCAGCTCTCAGACCGGAGTTTAAATCAGAGCTGATCTGATCCTCCACATCGCCCTCAGACTCCTGCTGGAAAACATGCACACACAGACAAATGAGTATCAGCAAGGACCAAAACATCAGCACACAAACAAAGAAGCTTCACGTTTGATCACATTAATCTTTCGCATTCTTCACCTGGAGTTTTTGTTCTATACATTGTCATTTGCATCTAACAAGTGATAAACCTGCACAACATGAACTATGAGTTCATGTTGGGGCATTAATAAAACATCTTTCAGATGTATACGTTCCCACACTACAGCACCCACACACTGTATGTGCAACGTACAATGTCTGATCTAATCCTTTAATGTTGTTACACGATGCTGCATTTTTGGCGAAATGTATCTACAGACGCTGCTTCCAAAATCCGCTCATTTGAATTTAAGAGAGATCAAAAGAGAGGAGGAGAGATAAAAGGGTTGAATGCGTGCGCATGTGTGGGTGATGTTATTTAAAATGCCATAAATCAATCATAAACACAGAGTGGGAAGCTTTACGTCGTGAAACATTCACACCGGCTCCCCTGAAGCTGCTGTGGTGACTCACGCAGTTTCTATCGTCCAACTGCATCCCGAGAATGATGCATGGTGATGGATGCATAAGCAGAGGGAAAGAGAGAGAGAGATGGAGGCTGCGTGGGAAGTGTGTGTCAGTGTGTTTGTCCGCATTCTGCCTGCTGTCTTTTCTTTTGCTGAAAATAATTTCGCTAAAAGCGGAATATGTTGGAGTAGGAGGTCAGGAGTTTTACAATCTGAAGAATATTTGGCAAATAACAAAAGCTCTTTTTTAATGACTTGCATCAAAAACCTTTTTGCCAGCTGAAGTCAACAGTTTGCAGCTCAGACAGACACAGGTACTAGTCTTCTTTCTGAAGCAAAAGCAGCACTTGAAGATGTGAGTATATTTAGGATTAAAAGAGAAAAAAAGAGCAGCTTCTGTAATAATAGTGAAGATCCCTGCATTTACTAACATCCCTAAAACACTCCTAAATCAAGATGCCAGTCCTTCATCACATAGAGTTTAAATATTTATATTATTATTGTTCAATGAAGAGCATATGCATTGTTTGAACTAACCTTTCTCGTTTATTTCAGTTGATTTCTACCCGAAGTAAAAAACAAACAAAACAAAACAAAAAAAACACATTTCAATAAATAAACAACTTTAATGGACACTTTAGGGAAGAAACAGCTGTTTTCCACCAATACATTAATTATAATTAAGCCACGGGTTCTTACCTTTCAAAAATTTTGTCGAGCAGCAGTTTTTAAAGCCTCCTTTCCTCTGCCCACCGTGATGTCCTTTCCTGGGTGCCTCATCCACCGTACTCACAGCGATCTAGCGCTTCTCCAGCTCGCCTGCAGTCGCAGCCTGTGTGGGTTCAAACAGAAACACAGACGGGCGGACGTGCGCAGAGCTCGAGCTCCTGTCGGGGTGAGACGCTCGCTGCTCTCCAGACTCCTAAAATATCCCGTTCACAGCAACAGGAGACAACACACTCCGCTCAGCGCCTGCCCTCATTGGTCCTGGCGGAGGCAGATGTTTTCTGTTGCTAAGAAACAGAGTAAGCGCGGTGATGACGTTCCAGCATCAGTCCAGCCGACGTACGGTTTTCGCGCTTTTTTTTTTCTTTTACCAGCGCATGTTTACCAGCGCATGGAGAAATGAAGCAGTGTGGATCAGAGGCGAGTTTTAAAGGTTTCACTGGGAAGAAAGACACGGACAGTTTTAAATCCAAGTCCGTTTGGTTTGTTTGGCATTTTGTGTGTTGTTAATGAGTAATCCGATCGTTCAGTCTGACGTCACTAGCTGTGTCTGGGCCTAAACTCCGCTGCAGGTCCATATATCAAATGATCACTGTGGCATTACTGAGAGTTGAAAAACTGTCTAAAGTCTTTCATCTTTAATAAAATGATCAGCGTTCTGCTCTACCAGGTGTAACAATTGAGTTTAACATCCAGGCATCCATGAAAACGGAATTTATGACATTTAACGGAGTTAGAAGTTAGCAGGGAGTTAGCTCGCTAGCTTCTATCTAAATACAATATAGCATGTCCTGACTGCGGGGTTTTGGAAACAAATTAAAACGTACAGCTCTGTTATCACTTCCAACATAAATGAAGACAGAAAACTAAACAGCAGTGACGTTTGTAGGGTTACTGAAGTTTGGCTAGCTGGTATATAATGATGTGCTACGTGACCGCTAGCGACACAGCTATGTTAGCATAATATAAACAAGCTAACTTTTTTTCCACTCGATAAAAGTTAACGTGAGTGTTCTCGGTGGTCAGGAACAAATGTAATCGCATGGCAGGATGCTGTAAAAGGACCAAACTTCAGCCAGGAGAACAACTGAGATAATCCATCCACAATACGAGGTTAGTCATTCATATACTGCTGCATGGGCTGGGCTGTAGTTACATCCTAAGGTTTTAAAAACTGAGCTTAAATAAATGATTAGCGGTAATAAAAGCCGAGGGAGGTCAACGGTGATCACTGACTTTTTTTAAGAGCTTTTTGAGATTAAATAAAAGAAAATACAAAGCATTAAACATGTTAACAACACAAAAGCCATATTAAATGCAGACTACTTTAGACCCGGAAGTAGGATTCGTCACGTCATCACTTAATAATCGGATAGAGATGGAAACCAGTCAAGTAAAGTTATGGGGCCATGGCCCTCTACCCCACTTACCAAGGAGCCAGACGTGATTTTTTATTGTTTTTTTCCAGGCATTTTGTGTCCCTGTGGATGTTTTTTTGCACTCTTTGTGGTTGTTTTTGGTCGCTTTGAGTGTATTTCTTTTGCATCCCTCTAAACATTTTGTGTCTGTTTGTGCTCATCTTGCATCTTTATGGGTGATTTGTGCCTCTTTATGACTGCTCTGTGATCATATAACAGCGGTATGCACATGAATATGGAGAATGTGTGGGTTTTTGTTACTGGAGTCTTTCTGGGTTTGTAGTTCATTCATAGTTTCACTGAAAAAACGAGATCTCTTGAATTTATGTAAGCATCTTGTATTTAATACAACTGCCTCATGTTTGAGTGACTTGTGTTAATTTCACTCAGTTGTTTAAGTTGCTGCCAAAGCAAATATTTGTGTGCAACAAATGTCCACTTTTGAATTAAGCCAATCCTGTTTTGTTTGCCTGCATGTAAACAGTGTGGTGTCGAGACCAAAATCTAGGCTGTATTTGCCAAAATACAAACTTCAAAACTACCTGACATCCATTGATGATTCAGTGTCTTTAAACCAATCCACTTTTAGTAATAACAGGCACACAGAACATTAAGTTTCAGGTCACTTCAAAGTCATAAATGTGTACTATCAAACCCTTTTAAGCTAGACTTACAAAATAAAACAAAGACTCTGTGAATATGGACTTGAAATAGATAACAAGCTACAAATCCATATTTGTGGGTTAAGGTCCTTGTAGAGCAAAATTGAGTATTTTAGTCTAAATAACCCAAAATGTGATGTCCACATATGTGGACGCCAGGTCCTAGGAGGTTAAGCTATATTCTGCACAAACAAATACAAAACATAAGATGCTTTCTTCAGTCTCTAATCCACTCTTGATTTGCTCTTGTCCTTAAGCACAAAGATTTAAAATTCAATCACAGTGACGTATGTTTTTGTTTTTAACTACAAAAGCCTAATTTTCAGAATTAAGACATTCAAGCCATGCTCACAAGTGAGGAGAGGACCCAAGAAAACAGATGGCAGGCAGACGTTGCCACAGCAGGGATCTTCTGGTTTTTATTGGCAATGACAACTTGGTACAAAAAGTGCTTTCTGGGTGCTGCGGGAGCTCAGCATGCACAGCCCAGACCAGGGCTGCAGAATAGTCAGTGCAGGATCAGGATCAATGTCCACTGTCTCTTTACAGGCCTAAAATGCCTTATGAACTTGACCTTATACAGCTATACTTCTCAGGGAGGCCAGAGACAAGATAGAAGTTAAGACACATTGCTTTATCTTTGTCTCGTGGAAATGTAATGCTATTCAGTTTTTCCCTCCCAGTTAGCCCAAAACTATGGAGTCAGCTCGAGATTTTGGAGTGAATGGTGTGAATAAAGCATCACATTAGCCTTATAGCCTAAACACCACTGAGGTCAGGTCTAATTGCATGGAAAAACATTGTCTTTAATCAGTGTGAGTGCCTCAAAGCAGACCATGACAAAACCTGCCAGTACCTAAATATAACCACTAATCACAGGAATCTTAAAATTATTAATTTTAAGCAAAGTTTTACTCTAATTATAAAACATGAAAAACAATACCTGGATATTTTAAGAAATTACAGTTGCATGAAAAGATTAGTTACTTTCATGTTTGTGTCTTAAGAGCAGAGCTAGACCCAGAAGGTGATCAGCCTAGCGTAGCGTAAACACTGATAGTAGCAATATATAGCTAACCAGACTTTGTCCACAGAAAAAGATAAACCCAACAACACTGCTATAGTTTGACACACTTACACCATATGTGTTTAATATGCACAAAAACAGTGATTTACCATAAAAGGTAAAACTATGCTATCATAATTAGCATAAACTATGCTGTCTCCCAATTCAAACATTTTTTAAATTAAGCTAGCTTACCTATTTAAAAAGTACGTCTGTTCTCGTTTGTACAAGGCCAATGTGGGCAATAAATCTGAAGAAGCCAAAAGTAGATTTAATTTAAAACTGATATTCTGTAAATGTTCTAAAATTGAATTTGCTTAAAGCATGAAATAAAACGTTTTGGTCTCGGTTTCTGAAACTGTTTCATCCCTCTACTCACTGGCTTTGCAGTTGTCTGACTTCAGCCCTGGTCAGGGCCTTGACAAATAAACCTTCCAGGCAAATGCAGTCCTAGAGCAGCATTCACAGAGAACAACAAGGAGGCTTCATGCAGTTGTGTATCAACTCTTTGTCATGGTGGATATGTTTCATCTCAAAATATTACAGGCACTTCATCAGTATTCCATCTGCAGCACAATCTGATCACACAATCTTTTTCACATCTGTAATACAACCTGGGATCTTGAACTGGGCATGCAGATATATAAATACAATCCTGGGATGTATTTAAAAACATTAAACATTTACTATTTTTAAAAAATATAATAGATATGATAGATTCTATACAACAACTCAACATGCATAAAATATATATAATCTGTGCAGTAAATATAATTCATGTCACTATTCACACTCACAAGTACGAAGCCGGCTGAAGAGGAGTGCTGATATTATTTTACCCACTGCAGAGAAATGCTTCTTCATGGGGGATTGTCAAATTTCTCTCTACATACTTTAAAATAAAACTGATTATCAAATGTTCGGACTCATCTGCCAAAGATCATAGTAGATTAGGAAGAATAAATACATTTAAGGATGCGCTGTGTCATCACTAACGTTAATGCAACAAAGAGGATTTGGATACTTTGGAAGTAATTAATAATCCCAATCTGGTAGAAGACACATTTTTTAGGAATTCTAGATAGCTGACTTAAAAGGAAAAACTTATCTTTTTGCTAAACCCCTAAATTAGTTAATTGTCAATTAATTGTAATTGTCAGTTCAGTGCCTTTTGGACAACAAAATGTAAGTTTAGATGATTTAACAGTTGTGTTTTTAGATTTCTTTCCTTTTCAAAGTGAAACCTTACCTCACTATGCTAATTCTCACTATATTTGGACAGTGTTGGTTCTTTGTTGAAATAATGCCCTATAATTTCCATGTCTTCTTTAGCTAAGAAAGATACATATGTCCGATCAATGTCATGTTAGCCTTACTCTCAAAGAGCTAAATTACAGAGGCATGTTATCACGTATGCAGTCATTACAGCAGTTTTAAGACCCTTTGGTAGGTTTTTCATTTTCTATGAATCACAATTACTTGCTTCTTACACCCAAATAAAGTCCGTGATTTCCACATATATAAAAACTTGTACATTCTTCTCAAAAACATTGTTATACTTTTCAAAATGACTATTAATTTGAGAAAAAAAATAGTTCAATTAAAAATATTTATGGGCGAATCGCAGCTGTCTGTATCAAACAAACATAGATGGGATTTGGTTGGCTTTGTCTTTAGAGGGTTTAAACTGAACTACGTCACAGTGTAGAAAATAAAAAAATTATCTGGATGCCTATGTAAGGTAACTGCAGCACTCCTAATCATCATCCATGCTTCGTATAATGTACACCTGAAGTAGTTGTCATTACGCATCTACAATCTTAGCATTTACAGCATTTACAGCTTGGTTCCTGTGCTAAATTGATACAAAATGAGTCCATTCACCTATGTCCCTCAACAAGTGACTCATGTTCATATAAAAGGAAAAAAAGATAAAAAGTTGTCTTTCTTCTGCTGGAAACGTCCCTGAACGAAACATAACAAATCACGGAGTAATCAGAAGCTGTTCAGATATTGTGGCTTACTTTCTTGATAAGCACTTGTTCAAACGCTGACATTTCCTTTTTCTGAAGATTTACAAAAAGGTCATGGATAATGGAAAAACTAGGCAAGTATGTTAAAAAGGTGAAAGTCCTTTTTTTGGAGGGGGTATGCTAACACATTAAACACAACGAATCGGCCCTGATTTCTAATGCATGGCGTCACCTCATGGCCACCAACCTCGAGTCATTTCCGATCACAGTTTTATTAATTGCTAAAGAGACTGTGTTGTCACCTGACCAAAGAAAACAAACGCTCGAGTAAACACATCTCTGCTCTCAGTGTGCGAACCCCTGAGGGTTCAGCTACAGTATTTCTCCACACAAACAAAAATAATCCCCCGATTCAGGCTGCGCTCCTGCCTTATGACTCAAAGATGCTCAGATGGGAAAAGGAAGAGCATTAGCAGCAGCATTACCCTCATCACCATCACACTGTACGGTTTCACTGCCATAACTACCAATTAACACAGAGTGTGACTGGGGGGAAAAAACAGACACACACACACTTCCAGGGTAATTCATTGGCGGTTCTTAACAGCTGCAGTGAGATATTTAAAGCCTCTTTTGAGCTCAGCATTGATGGATGTTGAAATGAGCTTTGCCCTGTGAAGGAGACTGAGCTGAAGCCAAATAACATCATTCAGGATTGATGAGGCTCATCCCAATGGGTTTAAGAGCCTCCAGCTGCTGGTCTTCCTGCCTGTTGTAGCACGAGCGTCAGGAGAATATGAATGAGCGCTGAATGTGAATGAGACATCCTTCTTCTCCAACTGAATCAGAAAATATTGGTTCCTTTTTCAAGTATGTCACGGGTACGTGATCCTTCAGTCATATTTCTGCACTGAAAAACGCAACTAAAATGTCAGTGAGAGCTGCCTTACAATTTTAGGGTAAGCACAAAAACAAAACAAAAAAAAAAGACATGTTATTGCGGTTATAGTACCACTTGCCCAAAAACTTGTCTTGTGATCTGTTCCTTTACTGCACTGCTTAGGTCACTGTTTGAACGTAATCACCTTTGAATATTTAGTAAGTTTATATCTTGTTTATTTAAACTACACAAAGCTTTTTCACAACGCATTCACCGTGAGTAAACTTTATAGATTAAATTAGCCCTTTAATCTTATCATTTAGAATGATTACAACAGCTGCAATCCAGAGAATGTAAATACAAAGATGATAGTACTCTAGAATACTTTGGTATCTAACAAATCACCACCTCGCCACCACCGTGCTTGTTTGTGCTGAGCGGCTGTTCGGTTGTCACCAAAACGTGATTGTCCTCATCATAAACAAACATCTCTACTTTGGTCTCATCAGTCTCAAATACATTGTTCCAGGAGCCTTCTGGTTTAATGCAGCTTGGCAAAGATAAACCATACTGGCATGTTCTTCTGTTTTAATATTGATGCTCACACTTAATATTGTGCGTTTGACCAGCAGCACCTAACTGCTACTTTCCCTCTTAATTCCTACAAAAGCAGCAAGGGTGTATTTTTTCACAAAGTACTTCTGCATTTTGGCTTAATTGTTGTTACAGAAAAGATGATTTAATATGTAAATTGACATTCTTTAGAGGTTTTAATATCTAATTTTAAGAACCACCAATTTGAATGAAACCCTTTTTTATTTGAATCATTAAATTTCTGTGTGATGACTTAATTAAATTTGTATCTTTTTGTTACAGATTACATAACAATTTGCCTACAGGTAGTAAGGGTTACTGTATTGGATTTAGTATTGTCGATCATGTGGAGTTATTGGAGTAAACAATACCCTGACTAAGCACAAAAGTTGATTTTTGACCTGCTAAACAGGAATCCAAATGAGTCAGATTCGCTACTTTTTTGTCGTTTGTCACTTAAACTCTAAGAAAACCACATCAGTTTGGTTTCTGTGGGATTAGCTCTCCAGCAGCACCCTTGAATCCACAAATTACCACCAGCTTTTCCCAACAAATCTGCTTTTTGTCAGTTTCAGGACGTTTTTTGGTCAACTTTCTGATAAAGTTAAAATAAATAGAATTTATTTTTTAGTTAAAATGTCAGGTTGGGCGATATGTAAAAATTTTCCAACCAACAATTTGACGATCCAACGATAGACCATATACTCACGCAGGTGCGGAGCAAAGTAATCATGCACGGACTGATTTGCACATTTAGAATTTATACGTTTTGTTTGGAGGGAATATTTTACCGTCTCTTCTTGTTTGTTTCAGTATTACTACAGCTACTTTTTGGATTATTTATTTATTTATTTATTTGAGATGCACCAAATCACAACAACTATATCGTCAATAGTCAATATATTCGTCCAATCGCCCAGCCTTATTAAAAAGTCTGATTTTAATCCACTGAGACGGTGTAGAAAACTTTGGAGGCTGTTTAAAGAAACAAAACACAACAAAGCCCCCCTAATTAACAGATGCCAATGAAGTATAGACACAGGTAACTGACGTCATCCAATTTGAAAATAATAACATTTTAATTTTTGTGAGAGAAGCTATCCTATATTTATATATAAATTTATCTATTTAGTAATAGTTTCATTTTTTTGTGTTTACAGTTACAGATATTTGCATTTTACCAGCTAACCAAGCTCTCTAAGCTCAGTGGAAGGATGTAAATTGCAGTAACATTTCACTTGAATGTATTTCTCACAAGTCTCTATGCTTTTAAATCACTCCATTCAGGCTAGCAGTGGGATTTAACCAGTGAGTATACAATTGGTTAAACTGATGGGCAGCCATGTGCTTGTGCTCTGATATAAATGACGTTACATCATAAGATCTTAATGAAAAGATGTCTGATGTACTGCAGAGCTCACTGAACACTCACTGAATAATTTTGCTAGTTTTTGTGACCTAAATGAACTTCCTCATATAACATTGATCATTCTTGACCCATAACAAAAATGCAAATCTGTGACACTTCTGACAGGATGTGGCACTAATATTTCCAGAATGTCGAATCTCCCAATTTCTTCTCTGCAGTTTAGTTTACAGAGGACAAATGTCCTGAAGTGAAGTGTGAGAGATAACAAGACAAAAATATTTGACTTCTATCTGCCAATTCAGGAGTAAATTTAATGCCTTCAATGTCTTTTTATAGCCTAAAGTCTTTAAATATTTTTTCTTTCCTGAAACATGAATTGAAAGCTTGTATTTTAAACCGATTACAGCCTGAGGACCGATGACTTTGTCCTGCATGCTGACACAAACTAACCATCTGTGCTGGATGTAAAAATTGGGGAGATTCTGTGAATCACTGAGGCCTGAAATCTTAACCATAATAATCCACTCTCTAAATCAAGGCTTTCCTTTTCTTTTCCAAAAGCTCTAAATCTGTCTAACTACAGAATAAAAAAATATAAGAAAAACCACAGAAGAAAGTAAAGTCCTGCCCGACAGTTATTTTATGCCTCTAGCAGGACGTGCCAGCGGCAGACCTGCTGTCCTCGACCCTCCCTCATGTCCTGCCAGTGAAGCTGCTCTTCATCGCCGCTGCTGTTCTGGCCCAGAGCGATCCAACCCACCATCTCCTTGCGCTTCATGCTGCGGCGGTTGTAGATAGAGATCAGCAGAGTGACATCTGACAGCTGGAACAGAGCAACCTGGAAGATAAATGTCTCCTTGTACACGGGGTTGGGCTGACCACGGCGTACTGTCGTCTTAGTCCGACAGATCTCTTGACCAACTGAATTCAGCAGAGTCAGTCGTCCATAGGTGTCTGGACCAATGAGGAAGAGGGAAGAGGAGAAGTGATGAAGAAGAGAAGAGATTGTTATGAATGCCATTTCAGTTTGGCTGGATGTTTTTGCATGTATACAGTGAACACGTGTACCAAATGTATATAATTCGATTGTTTGTGTGTATGTGTGAGAGAGGCTCCCTGCAGACCTGGTGGCCTGTTCATGGCAAGGTTTCTGAAGTGGCTGCCCTTGATGAGCTCCACAGACATGCGTCCCGTTGTGGCATTGTAGGAGAGACCCACCAGCAGTTCAGGGACGCCACCGTGGGTCAGAGACTGGGTTGATGAGGCGCTGTCGCTCTGAGAGACGGCAGACAGGCTGAGCTGGGAGTCGACACTCTGAGGAATAAAAACAAGTGTGGTGGCTACAGATACGCTGAACAGAAACCTCCCAAAATCCTTTTTAAATTCAGTTACACCCAAAACTTGACGGCATTTTTCCTACTTACCTTCAGGTTACTTCTAGGCTCCAGGACTAGTGTCGTTTCCATCGTCCCCCCGTCTGGGTTAAGTCCTCGTAAACGCAGCACTTTCTCCCCCATCATTCGCTCACGTGATATCCTACTACCCAGCGCATACAGCCTGAACCTGATAGCTGACTTCTGCAGATCGGATGGCTCCAGGCGCGAGAAGCGAAACGTCTCGTTGAAGTGCGGGAGTGAGCCTTTCTGCACGGAGGTCTTGTGTCGCTGTTTCTTGGAGGGCAGCAGGACCACATGCACCTGCCAGGCGCTCATCCCACTTCGAGCCTTGTCGGGGATATCTCGGGCCGCAATCACAGTGACCAGCAGTTTTTCTGCGGCAGGACGGTACTCCAGGGAGAGGACCAGATCTCCACACTTGGAGATAGGAGTTCGAGGGGAAGAACAGCCTGGCTGAGACGAGACTTCGCCAAGAGGAGGTGGCTCTTCCTGGCAAAGTAAGGAGAGAAATCATCACAAACACACTACACCAACCTGTAGCTTAACCTTTTGCTAAGGAGGACAACTGCAGTCAGTGGATTCTAGTGGTAACCAGTTTATGACTTAAATAAGCAAAAGTGTGTTAGTACAAAAAAATTTGATTGTCACCTTCTTATTTCAAGGGATTTTCTGGCTTTTTATTCACCTGTCAGTCATAATAATCACTTTCTTTTAAATGTCCAGAGAGACAAAGTGAGCAGAAATGCGATCCTGAAGCATACATAAGCCCCCTCCTGCATCTCCCCAACCCCTGCAGTTAAATGCTCCCGTGCAGTCAGCAAACACAACATCGATTGTGTCAAGTGTTGACCGAGCGGGCCGAGTGTTGCTGTCGACATGGCAACCACTGGGGAGATAAGATAATCAGAGGGCTGCCGAGGTCTACTGGATGTGCAGGTCAGGAGATGCACACATAAAAGATAAAAAACATAAGAATGGACCTCCACCTGAAAAAAAGCATTAACGTTTACTGCTGCTAGTAACGGGAAGTAGTAGCTCATGCGACCAATGTAGCAGTGGGGTGGCATCAGTATAAATGTGCAAACAATAAAAGCATAACTTTCAATTTAAACATCACAACATCACAGACCTTTATTATTAGTGGCCCAAGTTAAATGAAGGAATATTACCTTACAAAGCGATCTCCACGAAAAAATAATTTCTGTTATTTTGTTTACTAAAATATGAGAATTAAGTTTTACACCACTTGTTCCTACTAATTGTTCACTAGCTGTTGTTTTTAACATATTTTTTATTTTTTATTTAGTTGAGATAAAAATAAAATCAGAGACATCTTTAATAATCCTAAGTAACAGTTTAAAAAAACTATCACAAGCAAAGTCTGTGAACTTCAGAATACCACATATTTAAATCTTATTGATTGCTATCGACCTAAAAGACGGCCTATTAGGCAAAAATTAAAAAAAACCCACAAGATTCAGACTGTTCTAAATGCTTATATCTCTACATCTCCTTGTTTTTTTATGATGGCACTGAGAGCCAATATAAGTAATTTGGTCATAGCACCCTGCTCTTAAGAACAGCAGCCCCCCATCCATGTAGTCTATATTTCAAATTTATTTGAAAGGGGCAGCCAATCAGGAGAAAGTCAGCTTAAAAGGAGAGCAGTTTCAGTTTTACAAATGCCAATTTAATGCTTAATAGTTTAATAGGAAAGGTTCCCATTAAATATACAGGTTGCTCATCACTGGACTTGCACAAGCCATGGTTTCAGGTTTAAACAAACTGTAGCTGTTGGTGTCCACACACTGAAGTAAAGGTGTGTAATTGTCACTGATAGTTTCTTCTACAAGTGAACGTTTAAAAAAAATAGCACTGGGCTACATTAAAAAATGTTCCTTTATACATTCTTGTATTTTGCCATCAAGTGTTTTACAGATGCTTTTTTGCTTATGTGGGCTTCACACGCTGCCGTGTAACAACCATATTCCATAAATACTTCTAATCAGAGTTGACTGGTGGGTGATGATGGTTATGTTGGTTACGTGATAATAGATTAATCTATTACTGATGCATGATGTGGTTTTACAGATTTAAAAAGTTTTATGGTTGTGTCTGTGGGTTCCAGACAAACCTGAAACATGAAGGTAGTATGAAACAGGTATAACGGCAGTAAACATAGCAGAAAGGGTGGTATTATTAGCAGCTGTAATATCTGCTGTATCTTTAACCACGAGCGGGGCTGTTATATAACTCTATAAATAAACTGCTAACAAAAAAAAGGCTCTCCTGTGTTTCTGTAGCTCTGCAGCCCCTCTGATCCAACCTCATTTGTTATTTATGAAGCGTTTCTAGATTTCAGTATCACCCAGTGTGTGTGTGTGTGTGTGTGTGTGTGGGGGGGGGGGGGGGGGGGGGGAGGTGTTTACAGCACAGATTGCGCCCAAATTCAAAGTGTGATTCGGTCACTAAGAGGTTGTGAATTCTACAAACACACAAACGATATACACATATATACAAAATACACAAATACCACACAGAGCAGGAATATTTGCATATGTATGCATGCTTTTTTTACACACGCACACACATACATATGCAGACAATGTAGCAGATATTACCTAACACAATTATAACTGTGACAGCACCAACATTAATGTTAGTGACTGATAAAACAATTAGCCTCTCAAATGATTAACCATTAACTTGAGGACATAAATTAATAACTAAAATCCTCAAAATCAATGAGAAATCAAGATGAGCTATTAGTATAATCAGTCTTATAAAATACATTATTGATTAGAAAGTGGTTAATAACTAAAATAATAATTACAATCAATGTTATATCTCAATAGTCACTGAGGTTGAAGGATTTGACTGTTCTGCATAAGCAGAGGTTGGCAACATTCACTCCTATGCAACACTGATTACGGCAGCATATGCATTAAAGACAGGTGATTTACTAAAGTAATTAGTACAAAGATCTCACTGAGGACTGAGACTAAAAGAAGAAGCATGTGTATGTGTGGCAGACAGAGAGAGAAGTGTGTGTCTTTCTTCTGCAACATAGCTGAACAAGTGACCAAAGAGAAGAACGAGCACTTGTGGCAGGATCCTTACATTTCCTCACCATGTTAGCATGCAAGACCTTGGTGTATGTAGCAAATGCAGGAACAAAACCATTAAGAAGATCATCATAAAATAAATGAAAGCCCATACTCTTAACCATGTGTTATGGAAAACTATGATGTACCAGGGAGGTTTACTAGATCGTGGATCAGTCATTGATCAGAGTGATACTCCATGTGCTAGATCCGAGCAAGCAAGCGTTGTGCTCCACTTCAGCTGGCCCAGACACACAGCGAACTTCTCTTTGTTAGCTGCGTTAGCACTCTGAGCTAACATGCTCTGCTGTTGTTGCTCCTAGTGACTGCGATCAGAAGCTCTGGAGCTTGGAGAGGTCATAGGAGTGAAGAGCAGGCTTCCCACCACAGAGGTAGGAGTGAAAAAGAGCCTGACAATAGCTGGTAAATTCCTGAGTTAGTCATAACTCGGGATGCTAGCAATACTTGAATAGCTCTATCTTAATAAGAACCAAAACAAATCCTGTTTTTCCTCATTTTTCAGGAACGTGCTAACTCAGGAGTGAAATCACTCCCAAATTCGAAGGTATTGGGAACACGGCAGTATGGCCGCCTGTGATTTTGTCTTGCAGGTAAAAGGTGTCCGATTACAGATCTAGGAGGTGGTCATTCACTTCCTTGGAGGATGATATTGAATCAATGGATCTACAGTCTTGCTTTGGATTGTACGACACCATTATTCACAAATAAATAAGCAAAGAATGTATCAGCAATTTATGTGAAATCTCAGAGAGCTGTGGTTGGTTTGTTTCTTCCAACGTGAACCTGAGCGGCTTACCACAGCAGAGTGGTAATCCTCTCACAACTGAGTGACGATGATACCTCTGCCAAGCATGATGGGAACAGCAGGGGCTCAATGACCCCGTTAAGTAATCCATGCACCACTTTATTTATTTATTTATTTATTCATTTATTTACTTTTAACTTTCTGGTCATTGATGTTAATAAAAAACTGCATTTGTTTCCCATTTTCCTAGACATGAGGTGCGGCTCAAGACTTTTGCACAGTACTGTATTGCAGTATTGATTGATTGAAATTAAGAAAATTCTCTGATGCGTTTATCCAATAAATGCTTCTTTTCTCATTTAAATAGATGTAAGACAGTGTAAACTTAATGCTTGTCTCCAGTTTTACAAGGTCCAGTGTTATCAAACGCACCAATGAGTAGAAATGGTTAATGTCTGATTGTAGTACCTCTGGGGTCCAGGCGGAGGGGCTTTCTGTGACCTCATTCTTGTCATGATCCACTGCTTCCGTAGATTGCTGGTCCATACTCACGGTGGGACAGTCACTGGAGGCCAGTGGGTGGTCTCCTGCAGGTCTGTCCAAAGAGAGCATGGATGCCCTTTCTTTTGCTTCTACCACCGCAGAGAGCGGATCCTGGAAACCCTGTTGGCTTTGAGCTGCCGTTTCTGCAGGAACAAGAGCACTTGTTTTTAAACTGGTGGTGAAAGGATACTTTATATTTACACTGGAACTTTTCATCGCCCTACTTTTATCTCACTCACTTTTATGGTTAAAAGTGCAAAATTCCTAATGGGACAAGTAACAAAAAAAAGTAACAGCAGTTATTATTGTGCACTCACAGCACTGAAGATGTACAAGCAGTTACTAATAATTTTTAGATTATTTGAATGTGTAGAATGTATGTATGTCATGGTCATTTATAGCTTTTAATTATTTTGTTGAACTGTTCTTTTTCCAGGTTAAAATGATTGCACGACACATCTTTAATTATTTCAAAAAGCAAGAACTGCATGCACAAGTTAGAATTTATTTGGGATTTTCTCGAACCCACACATGGCCAAAATTACACATACAGACTCAAATATATACATACATTCTCCTAAATCCTTTAGTGGTTTAGTAGTGCTGAAGGTTCTACGATGTCCTTTAAATGATTGACTACAACTGGTAGTTTCTTTGACAGCATTCATTGTATGACCAATATTCAGAACAATGGGAAAGTCCCAGGAAGTCAGTGAAGATATGGTCTTTTACAACCTATTTAAAACAACTGCCGATTCCAAGATCATCAACTATACATAAGTACAAGTTATTTAGATGTGTGACCACTTTGCCAGAGTCTAGAAGAAAATGCAAATTGGGACCCTCAGATGAGGCGAAACTACTTGTAAACTAGTAGCATCAATGTTCCCTTTGAAATAAGTTTTACATCATCATGGATCGAGAGAGCGCTGACCAAGAAAGACTGACTTTTCTCAAAAGAACCTTAAAACCCTGCTCAGAAATGTTACGGCAAAATGCAATGGAAATTTTTGCACATCAGGTGTGCACGTACAATAACTGGAAAACTGTGAGTTGGTGCTTCAAATGTTTCAGCTTGATTAAGAAACTTATACTTGCATCATGAATGTAAAATGTATGTGTAACAGTATGTATCCTCACCTAATATATGTGCTCTCTGTGCAGTAATCCAGCAGTGAAACTCTTCCTAACAGAACGAGGTGAACATGTAAACATAGCTGCCACCTACATCAACACAAATTACTGAAATTAGACCTAGGTGGACATGAATATCTCCTCTAGCATACCATCTAATTTAGTCTTAAAGGTCTAAATGCAGTTTTCTAACCTTGTTTAGCACAGCAGTGTGTTAACAGGAGGGATATTGTGCAATTTGACAACCCTTGGCCTTTTCCTAACGCAGGAACACTCAGAGAACAAGCCGTACCTCAGACCAATCAATAGCAATTATCTCCAATTCTCTGTCATTAAGGTCGGCCTGACTGTTATATCAATGGCTGCATAGAGAGTTCACCATAGCAACAAGCTGAGGTAAGTCATCATTCTGTGTGTGTGTGTGTATGTTGTTTATAAAGGTGGAAATATATAACAGAAGCTGAAACAGAGTGACCCTGACCAAACCATGTCACCACCCCCACCAACCACCTGCTGCTCATGTTATAATGAAGAGTAAGTTCAGGGTTTTTCTAAATATTTGTCTGTGATTGCTGTAAAAAAGCAAATAAGGGTGCTGTTCATGCAGTAAGTTATGTAGCAGCTGAGCGGGGTGTGAATGAGATAATGATAATGAGTGATTTTGATCATTTGATCCACTGGCAAACAAATCTACAAAAACCACAAATAGAGTAAACAAAATAGTGTAAAAAAAAGAGAGCTGGTTTGTTTGCAACGTTCTAATTCTTCCTTATCCTCGGGCTTTTCTTAAAATAAACAAACAAACCAACAAGCACAAAGTGTCATATGCCTCCATCTTTCCACGCTCTCTCCCTGAGCTCTTTACAGCCTCTAATCTCCAGGAAAAACAGTATTTGAGGCTTTTTGGATTCATCAGGACAGATTAGTAGATGACTACTGCTGGCTAAGTCTTTATCTATCATTATTCCCAAATCAGTATCTGGATGAGTACCTTCACAGTCTGATGGCTCAGTGCTGCCCTCCTCCTGGTCTGATAGTCGGGTAAATTTGTGTCGTCGACCCAGTGACAGGTGAGTCTGCTGGGGCTGCTGCTCACCGATGTTTGCTGCTGCGGTGCGGAAATTCTGTGAACGAGACACGGACATCTCAAACTGCCTCAGGATCTCATCTTCGCTGTCTGACGAGCTGGAGGCATCGTCGTCGTCGTCACCGTAGCTGTTCACTGGAGGGAGGTAAAGACAAGGAAACAGAGGGACTCACAAATGGGAAAAGCTGGGAGAGTTCAGGAGAGGAGGAGAGGAAATCCAGATGAAAGGAAAACATTTGAAAAGACACTGACAAAACTAAAGGAGAAACTTCTTGGAAAGACTATCCTACAGACCCAAAGGACACCAACAGAACTAAGAAGGTCAAGAGCCTCTAGTTTGGTGTACACGCCAGTTAAGACTTTAAAGTCTAATTACTCTGTTACTCTGTCATATGCCTGTAACTAGAATTTAATTGCACTTGACTGTATGGCTATTGTTGTCTGTGTGTTTGTCAAAAACACAAAAGGTTTTTTGTGAAAGAACAATTAACTACCACCTACCAACCAACATGTTAAAAGCATTCAGTGTTGCGGAGGAGGAAAATAATTCCTCTACGAGAGGTAAATAAGCGAGATCACATTTAAAGCTGTGCTCAGCCTCAGTCTGTTCAAAATAACGACGCGTATTAGCATTAGTGGGGTTGAGGGTCACTCCACTACCTTTATAATTTCACCATAACTAGATAGCAACAGCTGAATGAGTGACGCGGCAGTGGAGCAATCAGCCCCCTCTTCTCTAAAGTGCAGGTCACCGTACCTGCCTGAGCAATTGCCATGGTTACATACAGAACAAAAACAAGGCTGTACACGCTGTGTGGGCGAGCAAGGCTGATTGGTCTGTTAACTTCTCTCTTCTTTCAGGCTTTTACAGTGAAGCAATGCGACTCAGTGGCTGAAACACATGGTTATTTCAGATCAACTCAGGAGCTTGCCTGCTAGAAACATAAAACCTGGGATAATTCTGACTAACAGAATAGTTTCAATAGGTTTTTAACTGCATCTGAAGGGAGATGCTCGTGTGTGTGGATAGCCACTATGATTTTGACATTTATGCAGAATAAAATATTTTCTTCAAATTTCTGTTTTAAACTGAAAAACTTTTTTCTTTCCATTTTTATTCATTATACACAATCCTCTTTTCAAATACAAATGTTATCTCTTTTAAAGGTTGTGCACAATTGTTCTTGTGGGAAGCTTTAATATTCAAAGATGTAAATAAACATATAAATGCAGAACAAAATTTAAAAGAAGAAATATTTTGAAGAAATACCAGAGAGGTCTGGTCCAAACTTAAGGCTAAAGAAAGCCCAATGCTCCACAGCCTAAGCCACACCTACTACTTGTTTTGCTGTACTTGGTGCTGCATATTGAACAGCATGAAATTATGGGGTATTATGTGAAATACTACTCAAAATGAAATAATACAAAGATTTTAATCTGCAGGGACCTCCATTTAAGGGAAGTTCTGGACTAAAACTATCAAGTTTTCAGTGTTAATGTGTTTATAGTCCTGTTGTTTTCAGTCCTTCATTCTAGTTTTTGTCTGATTTCTTTAAAATAGCAAAGAACAGTGTTAAATTATGCTGTGAATAGGTCACGATGAGTGAGCCTGCTATGGCAACAGAGACTTGGGTGTTCTTGTAAGCAGCGTGCGTACAGGAATCCTCTGAGTGACAAAAAAATACCAATATGGTGCTGAAATCTTCCTCATGATTAATGATGATGCCTGGAAAGATCACAGCTGATAATGGTAAATGAAGGAAAAGAGAACATGCTAGCTCAAGTGTTGTGCTGGTTTTAAGCTTGCCTGTTTGAGTTCAACAGCTATCTAAATGTATTAAAACAGGGCAGGACTGTAAGTATCATTACTGTAGTATTTATAGCCTTACTTGTTGTTCTATTCATTAGATCTGTATTTAATATTTTCATTTTTAGTTATATATTTATAGGTCACGTCATTATTTTCTTTCTTTCTTTTTTCAAAGCAATTTTTGTGTTTCTATTTCTTATTTATGTCTTACTACGTTTACTATTCTATTTCTATTTATAAAGAACTGATGTATTAATTTTACATAATTCAACATGTTTATTTTTATTTTTTTACATTCAGCTATGCACATGTCGCTGTATTTATTTATCTCCAAAGGTTGATTCTGTTCATCTGGACGCAGCGTTTTCAGGAGAGACGTTTCGTCATTCATCCAGGTGACTTCTTCAGTCTAAGCTGACTGCAGGGTTCCCCAACCTTATAAACAATCTTATATTTTGTATGTTAAATTAATACATTTGTTTATTTGTGTCTGAGTGTTCATAAGGTAAGAAACACTAGCCTGACCTCAAAGCCATTGATTGTTGTTTACAAAAGGCTAGGTGAAGAATTAGCATGTGTAGTTGATAAGAATTATTTGCTTATGTCTGATTCGCCCAGAAAAAACGAATTCTGCTTTTGACTGCGATCAGGACTAACCAGCTAATTCACATACAGACAGAACAACAAAGAAATTACATAAAAGGAAAAAAAAAAGAAATAACAGAAAAGTAACAATCACGAAATAGCCACAATAATAGTTTCTGTAAGGAAAAGACATTTTAATTCAATGCTCTCCTCATTTCCATTTTTTGGTTAATTTATTTATTTCTGTATAAAAGTATTTATTTATACATTTATTCAGTGATAATAAAAACATTTTTCGTCCCACACAGAAAACACAGCAGCTATCACACTGCCAGATGCTGGTTAAGGTTAAGCTACTAGGAATACAAAATATAAAACACAATGTTTTAAATACATTTGTTTATTACTTAATTCCTTCAATGTGATTCAGTTTTTTACTCTGTAAAATATGATAAAGAAACTCTCTTTAATTAACAGGACATTCACTGTTACTGTACTTGTCACTACTCAACAACATACATAACTCAAGCTTATTAGCCCTCAGTATTAGAATAATGATTAAAATATAGGTCAAATTAACCTTAAACTTTTAACCTTGTGCTAAGCCTGAGACTAGAGTTTAAGTTAAACCTGTTTCCACACACAGTTTGACTGAACCTGAGTTTTCAAACAGCTCCTACCTCATCCAGTGACACTCCACAGACGTTCAGCTGAATCTTATGAAGAGACTATAAACAGGATATGCTGTTTGTTCAGGAAACTAGCTGGAAATAGCAGAGGCTCCACCTGTTACAGGTGAAAAACTAACAAGCCAATGTTTGCTCACAGTTTGACTCACAGTCTCCACCATCCTACTGTAGCAAATGTGAACATGCCCTTCTTTCATTTCTGCTTCCTTAACAAGAGCAAATATGGGTTTACCTCTGCTGACCACTTGCTCTTAATGCTAAGATGATTCAGAGGCTCTCAACCAGATCCGAGCTGGTTTGAAGGATTTACCCTCTTCAGGAAGCTCTCAGCAGGTCTTTTAGAATTCCTGTCAGCATTAATACAAATTAAATAATTACATTCATCAATATTCAATTTAAGAATTAGGCTAAGGAAAGAAATTGTTACTACTGAAGAAAAACTCTACGCAAGAAATTCCGGAATCATCTTGTTTTCTTCCACGTATAAATTTGAGGGTTGCTGATGGCTGGAATTTATCCCAGCCGTCATAGAGCGAAAGGCACAGAGCACCTTGCATGGACAGGTCACCAGTCTGTTGCAGGGCTAACCTTAAACCACTCTGGTGATTCAGTGATGTGTTGCTGAAGATAAAGGTTTGACCAGGAAGGTCGTGAACAGTTCATGTGGCAATAAAAGATCAAAAGTGGCAGTCGGGAATGAAACCCAGCGGAATAACAAGAACAATGTGCCAAAGACCAGTGGGAATATGTTAGCTATTAATACACTGGGACTGGACACAGGTGAGGATGGGTCAGGTGCAATAAAACAGGTTTTTAAACAGGTAACTGGCACCATGTTAGCGTCTTCCCAGTTGATCAGGTCTAATAGATGTTTTCACAGCAGGAACTCTGGTGTGGTAGAGGCCTTTGTCAAAGTAGGAAAGGCACAGCTTTATTTAGCAGTAATGACAAATGTATTCCATCTTGACTAAAGTCTGCGTCATACAAATGTGAATTTCAAAAACATTAATCATTAATCAAATTACAAGCTTTGGAATTTATATAGCTTAGAAAATAAAGTAGGAGAAGTAGCACAGTTGTAAAAAATCCCATCTACTTTATATTTCTAACCGAGTACACAGTATTTGATTTTGAAGTGTTGTCTTCAATATAAACGTGGCTCATGGTCATGTTTGCAAGACAGGTTATGGGACATTAAATAAAAGTTAACCTATGGTAACCTTTGCTCTGCGTGTTTGCACTGTTTGACAAGTGGGAGGAAGGAAAAAAGTTTAAGTGGGTGACAAAAATGGGAACAAAAGCTGCACCCTGAGTATCCTGCACTCTGTGTTTCTTTCTGAATTTCCTCGGAGGTGGACTTTTTCATAAAGCTTTCGCAGCGTTAACATTTTTTAATCGTGAACAGCTTTGTAGCAGTATGCGGCTGAGTCACGCAACTCCCTCTCGCCCACAGAAATCACTGGACAAATACAAACTCTCCCACGTTCTCTCTCTGCTGCTGAACACTTTAATTGGGGTCAAACTGCAAACAGGAGACGTGTACTCTCTCTGAGATGTTTCTAGTTGAGACAAACCTTGAAGTGTGGCAGGACTCACTGGCTAGTAAAACGTAAAATTCAAACACCACAGTTTTGCTGCTTCTCAGTAAAATGTATCATTTTTGGAAGCTGTCCTGTGAAATTATGACAAAATATATATGTGATAATTATGGACCCTGGCTCTCCTACACGAGTAGGCATGTTACTGTCATTGAGTTGTCAGTCACTCACCGAGGCCCTGGCGGATTCCAGCCCGTCCTTTCTTGCGACGACCGTGTACCTCCAGGCAGGGAAGACCGCCGACACGTGAGAAACACAGTTTCTTGTTGATGAAGAGGAAGAGGACGGCCAACGCCACGATGAAGACACCCACCGCCGACAGGAAGCCGATGGCCTCTGGGGTGACTGGCAGGAGCAGGGAGAGGGAGAGGGGACACACAATGACACACTGATCAGACCACACAAACAGACAGCCTGGATACATGCGCACACGTGCACACACACACACATACATGCACGCAACAGTACGCATGGTACATGTGATACACACAGACAGACAGGTGAAACTTTAGTAGTTGAAATATCTTCAGTGCCTTGCTCAAGAGCAGAGTCAGTGTAAAAACAGTTTCACAGTTTTTTCCTATGCTTAACCAGCAAATCAAGAGCACTGTGACGCTAGAACTGTAAGGTTTGAGTTCAACATTTTTTCTTCATATTTCGTCATATTTTAAAGAAACCAGTTCTCGCATCATAGTCTGTGCTGGTCCATTCTATGCCAATTACAGGTCAAAGTTCATCGCTACAGTATGGTTGTGTCCAAAATCACTCACAAATTCCCTACTCCCTCTATAAGGACTTCTATGAGAAGGACAATGTAATGGTGAGCCCATTACCAGTAAGAAAAAACAGTAATATGATTTGAGTGATCTTTTTGGCATTTATTACATGTATGCTATTTTTGTGAAGTATTTTGGAATATTCCAAGTGCACTATATAATTTATATTCACTATAAGATGGGACAGCAAAACAATAAAAACAGTCTATGGTCCAGAGACTAGTGAGTGATTTCAAACACTGCCTGTGTTGAATGAATAGCAGGACAAAAGTGCTAGCATTAGCCTAACAGCTAGAATCTGGCTAAGAATATACAGTAAGTAAGCTAGTTAGCTGGCCATGCTAACCACTGCAGCTTGCATGTGGTGGGGCAGGTGTGGATGACAAGAGCTACTGATTAACCTTCATTATGGTCTATGATGCTAATACACCTCTGAAAAGTATTTAAAACTTATAGCGTTAAAAAATGGAGTCAGTATAAAGAGGGAAAGAGTGGCAAGAATCACGATCCAGTCCTGATCACACACAACAACATATTGTTGTGTGTGATCAGGACTGCAGAGCTACAGTATAAGTCTGTATTTAATTGTTGTAGGAGGAATTTATATAATGATTATCTGGAGAGACTTTGTTGAATCAATAAATGTCTAGATGCAACACAGCAAGCTCTCAGCAAATAAATACTTATCACAAGCCCATCCATTTACCATCTGTGATGTGTGCATTAACACTTTATGTGCTGTATATTGCTAATCTATATACTGCCTGTACACTACTACACATACGTAGTGAGCCAGTTTCCCTTTCTTTATATTTTGTTTCCCAGCATCTGTATTTTTGAAAAGCTTTTTTAAGCTGTCTTAAACAACAGTTCTCCAGAACTTCTTCTTTTATTTGCTGCAGTTCATTCACTTATTTCTTTCAAATCCTACCTGAACATTTTCAGTGAAAATATTTTGTTTGTTAAACCATTTAACACTGAGCTATGAATCATTTAAGTATAAAAAAAGGTGCCTAGCTCAAGGGATTAGTGCTGTAAATAACAGGGAACTTAACATAGGACAAACTTTAAATAGCATCTTTAGGCACTCTGATACCACCGTCCTGTTGCAAAAACGTGTCAGTTGTTCGCATTAATTTTTGCACCAACAAGATGAATCCCTGTGTGAATCCCTTGAGCAAGGTGAAGAGGAAAACAGGGAGAAAAGGTTGAGAAATGGACTAAAAATCAGTGGCAACAGGTTTCATGGAGAGATTCATCTAAATTTGAAATTTCTGGTTCAAATCACTATCAATATGCATAGATGAGTTCAGGACAGAGGTAGTGAGTGTTATGGTTTGGGGCTACATTTCAGCCAGTGGTCTTGGAGATCTTATTCAAATTAATTGAATCATGAATGCAGAAAGTATCATCATATTTTAATCCACCATGCAATCCCTTCTGAAAAGCATATGATTGTCAGTGGCTTCATTTTTCAGCATAACAATGTTCCCAAACACACTGCAATGCAGAAAAAGCATACCTGAGTATGGAAAGAAACCCAAAACATACACACACAATTCTAAACACTATCAGTCATGGACTGGCCTCCCCAGAGAGCTTGGACCTCGACATTACTGAAGCAGTGTGAGAGATCAGCCTGGGGGAAATATTCTTAAATAACTTAACCCTCTCAGGCTCAAATTAACTTTTTGTTGCTAATGCACAACCAAGTCCCGCAGTGGTACTTCTGAGTAAAAAAAAACCTCATAAAATATGTATGTGGGGTAATCAGGTTGTCAGTTTTTAACTGTTGCAAATCGGCAACGCCTGCCTCGAGAGGGTTAAAGAAATCAGAAGACATCTTGGCTAAGAGAGTTCAGACTGTTGAAGAATAAAGGTGATCATTAAATATTTGTTTTCATGCTTGTTTGAATTTTTTCTGCTTTAGGTGCTCTATTTTCATGTTTGCACATGCCTCAATAAATTAGTGCACCTATTTTTCATTGTCATGTAAGAAAGTAGTGATGAGAGTTGGTCAAAACTAAGAAACGGGTGACCAGACAGGCAAACTGAGGTAGACATGGGCAGAGATGAAGAGAAACGCGAGGGTGTACTACTCTGCTCTGCTCTCAATGAGGTGCCTTAGTCTCCTTTAGCACGATGAAAAGAAATGCAAAGGGATGAGGGACAAGGTGCCTTTTCCTGTTTCCACGGTAACGTTTCAGTGAGCAAAAATCAATGGAACCAAATGAACATGAGTACACATTCTACTGGGAGCTGACGCCAAAGAAAGCACTCGGCAGTGTAGGTGGTGAGGATTCAATACACCTTTTTTTAACTCTCCACCTTTTGTTTTTGCCTCTCTTTAACTTTCATTCATGAGAACCTAAACTCCCACGCTTTACAGACGTACCTGATGTACCTTCATCTACACCGTAGACTTCCACCCACATCGTGTGTTCCTACGCGACGACAAAATAATGAGCAACAACAGCAGATGGTTTCTGTTGAGAAGAGGTTTTGACTGCTTAAAAAGACTTTAATCCTTATTTACTTTCTTCCTATTTAGGATCTAGCTCCTAAGAAATTCTAATACTGTTATTGGGACTCATGAGCCTTTCCTTTCTTCTCGTTATAGAGAGAAGACATAAAACTAGAGCTCCATTGCTATATTTCAGAAATAAGAAACACTTATTCAAAACTTCACAGTTATTTTTAACTATTCAGTAAACAAGCATCACTGGAACAGAGCCTTTCTCAACAAAGCCATGCAGCTTAGTTCTTATTTATATAAAGACTGTAGTGTATCAGACACGTATTTTTTCTCTATATTTTTTTGGTATTATGCTTTGATGCATTTTTAAGTCTAATGTAAGCCGGGTTGTAGCACAACCCCAACTTGTGTACCTTTTCTGCTAGTTAGTTATCTTGCGGGACAAACTAATATTTTTAATTCATTTTATCATTTAACATTTATTCACGAAAAGCCTTCGGAACTATTTAGTGAAAAAGTTTATGAAAATTAAACTCCAGGAACATTCTCCAGTTTTCCCTAAGAAGCAATAAGAAATGCAAAGTAAGCAACTGAGTTAGAGAAGGTGACGTCACTATGGCAACTGTGGCTCTCTAGTTTTTATGTGCAAACAATGTTGTTGACAATAGCAGTGGCTGTTGTGAACCCAGATCTGCAGTCAGTAATAGGGAACATGAGACTAATCGTAACCCGTGTAACACGTTACTGTACTCACATTTTTCAGTAACGTGGCAATGTAGTGTGCTAAATTCAGTAATTACATTATAGGTACAGGTAAAGTTAAACAAACATGTTTTTTTTTTCTTCCTGCACATTTGCACTACAAGCAGCTAATTTAAATACATATTCAAGAAGACAACTGTGGAATGGTCTACGACTTATGAGGAATGGGTTGATGTATTTATTACTTGTATTTGTACTGCATGAAAGGACAAGAGCATGATGGGGAAATGCAGTTGATGCCTTGACTGAATAATACTGCTAAACACAACTTTGGCTCACTGAAAGCATCTGCAAAGGCAGCATGCTAACACCTAAAAAACCCAGAGTGACGTTAAAGCTGAGTGCATGCTGACTCCAGTCCAGCAGCCAGAGCCTGAACACCAACAAATAACAAAAGCAGTGATGAACAGTCAGAGTGCAGCATTGTTTCTACAGTAGAACCACTCTCACTTTAAAGTTGTTTTGAGGCGGATTTTCAACTTGTGTTCATATTGTTGAAACTAAAATGAAGCTTCTATACATGTGGATTTAAATTGTTGCATGGACACTGCACATATAAAGGCTAATTTGGATCATTGGGCCCTGCCCTTAAAAACTGACACAGATTTGATACTATCAGTGAAGCTGGATTTAACAAATAAGTGCTTCAAGTTTCCGTTTTAAAAACATGTTTAACGCCATCTTCTGTCTGTGTGGAACATGACGTCATGTTGTTGGTTGTTTGGTTGCAGCTAAAAGATTTTATTTTATGTTAGTCAGCTAGAGACTGAATCGATAACTCAAAAGAAAATAAGAAGACTAAAGCTAAAAGACTTTTGTGCTGTCCTGGCTTTAACAATGAGTTTTATGTTAAGAAATCGAGGACATACTGTCCACTTTCACTGTCTGTCTCTGCACTCATACAGGAAAATCCAGCTGTTAGCTGTAATGTTCGGGTATGTAAAGCACTTTATAAATGAGCACAGTGTGGAGGAGAGCCTGTTTGATCACCAGACCAACAAGCTGGAGTCCAACACTCCAGCTTTTCCTCACCAGACCAGGTGTGCCAGCAATCAGCTGGCAAAGCAGATGTTCGAATGATGCAATCAGCACAATTTTATGCAATAAAATATTCGCTTTTACCAATACAAGCAGTTTACAATATCACAGGTTACTAGATGCATATCACAAGAAAAACATAACTGCTTCTTATTGAAGACAAGTGAAAATGCATCGCATACATCGTGTTTTTCCTGCAGACATGCTGATGGGACATTTGTGGTGTGGTGTAATTGTGTATGTAGTAAACTGTTTGAAATGGCTTGGGCAAAGAAAGAGAATTCATTGCATAAAATAGCGCTGATCACATCACCTGATTGCACTGCTCAGTACAGCCAGCCAAAAGCAGAGTTTCTGACTCC